TTATATGAACCATTCCTTCTTAACACATCAGAAACCCAGAGTCTGATGGGGTGATAGTTTATCAAAGACACATAGTTAGTTAGTTAGGAGCAGAGCTGGATCTCATACCAGACCATTGCCTTTTTTTTTTTTTAATGAATCTCATTCTTCAAACTCAGGTGTAGAAGATAAACAGCTATAAACAACCATCAACCATGCTCAGCTTCTGAATCAAGCCATTTCTGCCTGGTAGCAGCAACATGGCATCAGGTTCTCTCTTTGGAGCTGTGCCAAATTCGGGGAGACAGCAGAGGGCCAAGGCATGGTGTTTGTATGGTCCCACCTTAGTCATGGCTCTCTCTGCCGGCATCCACTGGTGCTACCCCACCCCATGGCTTTTGATCATCACCCTTCTGCTGGCATGCTGGTGCCCAAGTACGTGTCCCTCATCCCGTCTGATCATGGGCCTGGATCCTTAGGGCTTGCTGCTAAGTCATTCCATATTCCTGTCTGCAAGGTCCCTTCACACCCAGTGCTTTCTCCTTCAACCACTGGCCCTGGGTCCTTGTTATTCTCTCAGAATGTGGGATATTTCTCCTTGTGTCTCTCTCTGGGATGGAGGGTATTCTGAGAGGTTGTCTTAGGCTTCATTTGCCCAGCCCACCAAGAAGACACCTCTTCTCTGGCGTCCTTTTATTTTTGGGCACCTGTGGCTCAAGACTCATCTCTGCTCTGACCCTAGACATCAGCCTGGGGGATCTGAGGTCCCTTCCTCCTCTGCGGGCACTCAGCCTAAAAGGGGGTGGGGGAACTGGCACTGGGCCCCTTTTTTAACAGCGCACTGATGGCCACGTACTCACATGTCCACGTTCAGGCTTGCCATCCACCTCCTGGGACCTCTCCTCCTGTCTCAGGTGGGGAGCTTTGTCAACACAGATTCATCCATCTCGTCCACATCTGTTACTATCCGGGAGTCCTTCCCTCTCTCATCACCCCCGGCTGCAGAGAACTAAAGATGGATGTTTTCAGACTCCAAAAGGTTTATCTTGTCCTGACGCAAAGAGCTCAAGGTGGACTGACTTGAATGGAGAAAAGGCCTAGGGCACAGTGGGGAGGAAAGAAAAAGAATAACACACTGGTTCAAAACATTATTTTCTCTCAACTCTCTGAGGCTATTGGGGGAAGGGATTCTGGGTTTACCTGTGCTTACTCGTGGTCCAGCTCTTGAGAATAAAGTACCTTTGTCTGCTCTTCCTCACCAGCTGACCCCAGTTCAGAAAAGTCGATGAGGGAGAATCTTCCTCATAAAAATCCCCTTCAGCGTTACTGTTGCCCTTACTGACCCCCAGGAGCAGACGTTGTTTCTCTGGGGAGTTGCTTTCGACTAGCAGTGGCGTGTGGAAAATCTACTCTGGATAGCAAGTTTCCTGCCCTTAAGCTAGCATTCTGCCATCATCCCATAGACCACACTGGGAAACAAATGTAATTCTTACAATTTGGTTCTCCTGACAGGAAAAATATGTCACTTGTGTCAATGAATAATATATGTTGCTGTACATTTTTAATAAAATGAACAAATTGTTTCTGAGTATTTGGAAGACTTCATTCTTCATTTGCTAGTTCATTTTGAAACCATTACAGTTCTGTGTATTACTCCCTACGAAGACGTGAAATTAACCATCATATTTTCTGCTGCGGTCTGAAAGTTGAACAAGTTAATGTTTCACCCAAATTAGCTTCTTTCCTTTCACATTTGCTCTATCATTAACCTTCCCCATTTGAGCCTGCAATAAAAATTACATCACGATCAAATTCAAGGAAAGGTTTTGTGTAAGCCATGCCTAACACAAATTTTTATTACTGAGCTCAAGGGGCAGGAGTCAGATTTATTTGGATAATTTGTTCACAATTTATGCTGAGACTATTTTAGACTCTTGAACACACCAACACATGCTCTTATGTCAACCCATTGCCATAGTGACAGGCACATCGACTACACCCTGAGAGCTGGGTTTTGCTGACGTCGGTAAGCTGAGATCTTCAAGCAGATC